CTATATAGTATAGGCATATAGAAAACCCTGATACACAGTATAGGCATATAGAAAACCAGGATATCACCATGTGTTCACGGAAAGCAAGCTAACTATCTCTCCTGCACTCAGGGTACTACCATAGAAAGGGATGATCATAACTTAAAAGAGGCCCTCCCAGATGACTCATCCAGATATAACATTCTAAGATGAACCAACCAATAGAACATGCAGTGGGAGACTGGTAACTTGTAGGATCTCAGCCAATTGGAATCACCCGTAAGCATTGTTTTAAATATCGACCGATAATCGATATTATCGGCCGAGTTATCGGATTTAAGAGCTCTCCGCTAGAATAAGTTGGTTTTGTAATCCGTTATCGTTTTGGAGAGTTTATCGGCGAGTTATCGACGTTATCGGCACTTATCGGCCGATAAGTAAGGCTTTTTTATCGGGATTATCGGCCGGGCATTTTGAGTTTGATTGTTGAGTTTTTGAACCCGACCCAACCCGCTTTCTACAATTAGTTAGTGATTTTAAACATGATGATTTACTTGGTATGTTTATATTTCATTAAGCGTGGTTAGATTACATTTTTTAGTTATTATATTATATATATACACCATCCAGTATATCACTCCAATAAATACTACTTATCCCCGATATATCTACTTATCCCCGATATATCTCCGATTTCCGCTATCCGATAAGGATTTTGGCCGTCCGATAAATCCCCGATAACCGATATTTAAAACCTTGCCCGTAAGTAATAGTATCACTTTTGAAGAAATGCCACCAACCTAAGAGCAAGGCCTCACCAACACTGAACAGCAGGCATGCAATATACATGCATACAAAGTGATGCATGGTGAACCTTTGTTTCCATTAGATGTCTAACATAAGTCATAAACATGACATCGTGATAGAAGCTTCCATACTAAACACAGACTTATACACCAAGTCACCAATACACAGTAAATCAAAGGGTAGTCACATGTAAAAGATACAGTAAGCTCATGAACCAGATAAAGTTGGTCATAATAAGAAAGAAAATATAGCAATGATTGGATTTTCATGTGGAGCTTTCCTATGTGGTTCCTGGCTTTGCAAACTCAGTGAACCTTTACGCTGTTAGTTAGACACCAATAGGAGATGAAACTAAACAAAGAATTTAGTTTTTGTTAACTACTAGCCCAGTACAGTTCTATTATAGACAATTAATCAGCCAACCTCAATCGCAATCAACTGAAGATGCCTCTGCCAGTTAACTAGCCCCCTTATAGAAATCAAGGCCATGAATCCTAATTTCCGGAAAGAACCTTATTCCAGATTCTTTCTTTAATTTTGATCTTAACATGTTTCCTTTTATTTACTTAACATTTCTTTGTGAGTCAAATCCAAATTTCAATGATCACCTATTCCTGGAATATCTGTTTACAGAGCACATAAATGTTCTCAGAACCACCCAAAACACATAAATATAGGAAGTTAATGCAAAGAGAAAGTTCTGTCAGATTGAATGAAAAATTAATAATGTACTTCTAACAATAGGCGAGTAAGTTTCCTGTTGACCACTTTATAAACCCAAAATAAAAATAATAATATTAATAACAACAAAACTGAAGAAATGAAAATACCTTGCACAAATAATGCATGAGAGTCATCTTATTGTTCCTTGCCCGTGTATCTGTGAGCTTCAAAAGGCTATCCAACCTAAATCCAACTGCAGAACCTGCACGTATGAGAATATTACATATGAACACTCAGTACATCTTAAAATGAAAGTTTATTAAACCCCCCTGAACCTTTCAATAGAATTACACGACCTCTCCAAATTTAGAAGTGATTGATTAACCTCTCTATTGTTTATGTGGAGGCATATAATTGTGCTCAAAGTCATGAGTTCAGTGCAATTAATCAATCTAAACAGTGACATAATAAAAAGTGTCTCTCACTTCATCTACTTCACCTGTATCTCCTCATCATCATTTACCATTTCTTAAACAAGGACTGATCCTGTCCAAATCAAGTCCTCGTTTTTTTCCCCACTATATCCATAGTCATGCCCAATTTTGATGAGGAAGATAAAAAGAATACCAAAGGTTTTTTTTAGCCACAGTAACAAGCATAAGAAACAAACGGAGAAAGATATGGGCTAAGATGGGTAAACAAATTGAGAAGCAGGTATAAACACATTTGAGATCTGTACTCAAGTTACAAATTGGACTAGGATGTGAATTTTTTGGATTTGGATTGGTTAGAAAGCAACAGACAATAACAAAAGTTGTAAGCAGTCATCATAAATAAATAATAATAATGGAGGACATTATAGTCTGGAAAAAAATATTTAGTGATGTCTCCTCATAACTAAAACGGGTGCATGTCATTTGGAAACAAAGTATAGAGGGCATTACAAATTATTTTTTTCAACTAAGGAAGGTTATGTCACTCTAGTGAGAAATTCGAGGGGTTTAGTGAAACTTCCCTCTTACATATATATGCAGGATGAAGGAAGTTAATCGCTACTTAGAAAGGAAAGTAACGCAACATACGAGTTCAAGAAAACAAGGCCACAAGATGGAAACCTGAAAATAAAGCTTAGAAAATATGTCCTGTAACTGACTCTTGTTCCTGCAGAATTTATCCTATTTCTGACCAATCTCTTGAAAATGGTAATTGTCTGAAATCCAGACATGCTGCATACTGGGTGTCAGAAATGGCAATTGTATGATGCTGATACAGGGGTGTTAGAAATGGCAATCGTACAAAATCCAGACATGAGCATGCATGCATGCATATATACAATTGTGTGTGTGTGTAAGCACACAAGCAACATGAGTGTAAACACACACGAACTGGCACACACGTAACATGTGTAAGTGTGCATGCACTAGTGCGTGTGTGAGTGGGCGACTAATATAGATGTGTATTTGTGATATATATTTAAAAAGAATCTAATTTGATAAATTATCTACAAAATATTTAGCTTTTGCCAAAAGAAGCACCAATATACTCCGCTATATATTACTTTTGGAGTAAAGGCAGTTTTACAAATTCAGGACATAGATGGACATATGTTGTGTCCATGCATGTCACCTTTTTGTTAGGGGAAGTATCCTACACATTATAGTGTTAACTGTCCATTGTCTACTTCGTTCTCTGCAACATTTTATTTTATTTTATTTTATTTTACTATCTTCAATTTTGTATTAGGGCTATGTTTACATTGATTTCATCTCCAAAACTTCATCTGCTTCTGTTCCCCATCCCAATGTTTTAAAGTGATTTCCATAGGTTTTACCTCCATCTGGCCGAAACCTTTTTTTTGCCATGTACAAGATCGTTCAAATCAGGTCGAAGATGAAACCTCAAGTCTTTGGAGTGAGCTCAAAGAAAACCCAAGATAAGTAATGCAATGGAGGAATATAGGAACATTTGAGAAAGATAATAGAGTGAAAAAAGGTTGAAGTTGGATTAAACTAGAGAAAATCCATAATTTTGAGGAACAATGTGTAGTAAATCTAGAATATAGATCAAAAGAAAGCTGTTAATATACTCTGTTGGATTGTTAGCATAGATGTTAAAGAGAAAAATTCTACAAGGGGACTCCAAGACCTCCCAAAGTATTATATTAAAGCTGCTCACTTGGGAACAGCAAACAACTGTGCTCAAAGGTTAATGTCACATTAGCTACTGACAATCCACCAGCCAACTGATGACCAAAGGCTAGCTCGATAGCAATCTCTCTTGTAGAACTGAAACCTCACAGGTTGAAAGGAGTTTGTCATCTGGAAATCAATGATTGGTTACTTGCAGTAACCAGTACCAGAATAAAAGCAAAGGGCAACATGATACAACAGGAAGGGAAATATTCTATAAACAGTGATATAAGAATGCATGTGAGGCAGGTAACTGTAAATAGAGAGAAGCATATGACCAAATCCATACTAAGATACCACAGTATTACTCACCACGAGCTGTTCCCTGATTTAATGCATTTCCCAGAGACAGAATTGTTTGCATGATCCTTTTCAATTTGACAGAATTCCTGATCTGATAGGCAAAAAAAAATGAGTCGCAAGATAATTACTAATTAATAAAGTAGCCAAGGTATCAGAAAGACTATATCATACTTCTTTGGCAGCATTATTGACAATGTTCAGATTACCACTCAGGTCGGCAACCTGGAAACAAAATTTTCAAATTTGTTATAGTTTGTGTAATGAAATCTATCCGAACAAAAACAATAGCCAAGACTATTATGTCTGACCTGGGATCGAAACTGAATCTTAAAAGAGAAGACTCTCAGCTTTGATTCTACCCTTGGAACTTTCATCAGCTCTAAAAAGTACTGGTAGATAAGATCAATAATAACGTATGTAAGTGACTTATTTAATATGAACAATCAATCAATCATTCAAGCAGCAAGTATCGTAAGGAAATGAGCTTTTGTTTTAGGAATCATGATTGGATACTCAACACCTAATAATACGCTTTTTCAAGGGATAACTCAACAATTTCAAAGGGTAACTATATACACCTAATATCATTTATTACCAACCGAAAGACCATCCGTTGGTCCAATATAGGCTCAAACCATGCATTCTAATGTAATCTATAACTTATTGAGCAGCCGAAATGGCCACACTAAACAGCATTGGACTTTGATTTAGTTGAAGAAAGTATTAAAGAAGGAACAAATAACTGCTATTTCAGAATATTTGGAGATCTTTTTATGCACTCCAGCCATCAATTGTATCTAATAAAACATGAAAGCTTAAATCCCATTTTGAAATCCCACATTACGAAGAGCAGCAAAAGTTGCCGCAACTGGAGCAGCAGCATGAGCTGCCTACAGACTAGCATAGAGGGGCAAATGAGTAAATAGGATCATACATGGACAGGTAATTCCCAGGACCAGGAAAAGTTACCGGACCTTTGTAATAGGCACCACAAAAAATATTTACTCACCTGTTCGCATTTTCCCAAACTGTCTTTATCTCCACCGAAACCCTGAAATTTATTGTACATTATGGATACATGTAAGAGCATAAGAATTAACGAACTCGATATGGATTCTAGCCTTGTGGAAAACAGGTCCCACACACTAAGGTAATAATATATATGTACCTTGAGTAGCTCCACTTCCTCTTTTGTCGGACAAAACTTTATGAGATTATCTACCTGGTCACCATCTAAAACTGAATCATCCAAAGCAAGCACTGAACTCTGTACAACAGTAAAGAGAGCACCATGAGAAATCCAATTTTTAGGTCAATACAGTTGACTTGTCATGCCAAGGGATCAAGCACTGCCGGGTGTGAAATACAGCAGAACCAAACAAGTATAGTTCAAATGAAATGTTGCTGTCTCCAGTTGTTTTATACAACCTACTAATTCTATCCTTCACTTTACACATGGCTTCATGCTTGACCATGTACATCTATACATGATACTCACAAGAGCTTTGCAGTGAAAAATTAACCGAAACATAAATGTGGAAATAGCTGACCCAAGTTGATTACCGTCTAACAACATCTAAACCCATTCAAGCAGTGCAAGTGCTTACCATCAAATCAGCCAGTGGCATTTTCACCTTGGTAAGCATGATTTCGCAATTGTTCGCCCTTCTGAGATCAATCTACAAGACATCCATATGTAAACATCAACTGTTATATTATAAATTAATTCTGATGTTTGCTAACAAAAATATTTAATCAGGAAATAAGTAAATAGAAACAAATCCTATACAAACTAACAACTTTCTAAGAATTGCCGGAAATTAGTTAAGTGGCTTTAATTGGTGAACCTCAAACATTTTTGTTCATATATGCAATGCTACTTTGTCATTTCTAATATGAAAGTAAATGCCATATTTTATTTTGTTTTTTAGTGACACATACTCACAATAGAAAGCAAAAAGTCTCAGCTGCATATCAACTTACAGAACTACACATCATGTGACATCCTTGCTAATGCTTGCAAGCCGTGAACTAGGTTTCGCTTTAACAAGTTCAAATATCCCAGGATCATTTCTGGGTGTGAATGGGGAATTAATCAATTAGATCTTGGGAAACAACCAGCATTCATTTGGGATAGTGGTGCCATGAGAAAAAGTAGTTTTATGCTTAGTAGATCATGTTACATCTACTGATGACTAGTAGTCTGCATGGAGTCAAGGGAAAGCTTTCTAATACTATATTGAACTGGAGTACTTATAGACTTGCGCTATTGTGGTGTTAATGGTATCACGGTTATCCACGTATCCTCTAGTCATACTGCACTTGTTACTGGATATTCTAACTCCAATCTTTACCACTAGAACTTTTGCTGGTTCTAGTTAATTCCACTGTCAATGCTCCTACTACTTATATGATAATGCCAATAGCTACTGTTGCTCCCACTCTATATAGCTTTTCTTCCTACCACATGGCACCTACAACAAACTGTTATTTTGATATTACAGCAGCTCCTAGTGTTCCTGCGCCTTAGGTACCTCTCTTCTCTGATGTTAACTGCTAGGCCCCTTGCTCATATTCCTTCTGTTGCAGTTGCTGCTTCTCCCACTGCAACTGCAGACCCTCTCACAGTCCACATCACGAGGGCCCAATCCTGTGTTCGGCTAAATTGATCCTTGCTATAGCATGTTATGGCATTGTTTCAGCCCTTATGTAGCTCCTAATGATCCTCTTCCTATTACTATTCACACAGCTCTGAATGATGATAATAAGAAAAACGATAATATTTCATCAGTTTTTAATAGAAGCAGCAAAATACCTGATAACTATATAACAAGCTTGATGGATTGCAATGACCAATAACATATGTTGAATTGGATACCTACCACAAAACTTGCAAAAGGGGAAAAAATACCAGGTGAACTTTGTCTGGTTTCTGACCAAGTGATGGACGCCCACTCGACTTGTCAGCTGAACCATGACGATCAGAATTCGGAACTGCTGCTGAGAAAAGACTCTCAAGTTCAGACATGTCAAACTCTGGAGCCCTAAAGAGGGGAGGAATGCAAATGTGTGAGCAACTCGTCAAGGAAATCATATAAGTGAAAATGAACAGGTGGGTAGCAGAACATATACTTTGAAGCTTCATCAGGCTTCTGTGTCTCGGCCCACAGACTTCCCTGCATAGCTCTAGTTACTTTAACCCAATGTAGTGGTTTTAAAGAAGTCTTTTTGGATGATGATTGACTAGCATGCCTGGAGCTTGTGCGACTCAAATTACGTCCCTTTACACCCAATGAAGCACTTGATGGACCATTCATCCCGTTAGGTGGAGGTGGAGGCCCCTTGCTCCCCAAAGATGTAGACAGGGATGAAGCAGCGCTTGATCCCTTGAGTGGAGAATGGCCAAAAGGAGGTGACGGCACTGATGGGGGTATAGAACCACCTGAATGCTTTGATGTAGGTTTTTGAGGTGGTGGGGGTGGAGGTGGTCCTGAAGATGTTGGCCCTGAACAAGATGGAGGGGAAGATGATGGCCCTGAACGAGATGGAGGGGTTGGAGGTGAAGGGGCACTAGACCTCTTGATAGGGGGTGGAGGAGGAGTAGGAGTTGATGAAGAAACTAGAGGTCGAGGAGGGGGAGGGGGAGGGGGGATTGATGATGAAACTAAAGGTGGAGGAGTTGATGAAGAAACTAAAGGTGGAGATGTGGGATGGAGAATTGATGATGAAACTAAAGGTGGAGGAATTGACAAAGAAACTAAAGGTGGAGGAGGGGGAGGGGGCATTGATGATGAAACTGGCGGCGGAGGGGGAGGAGGGATTGACTTGCCCCCTGAAGGCAGTGATTGACTACGTGAAACAGGAGAACTTGTATCAAGTTTCAGAGAGAGGGCAGCTGATGATATCCCTTGACTGGAAGAGGGTGGAGATGGAGGAGGGGGAGAGGGAACATGAACAGAAGGTTCAAAAGGCTTTGAAGCTGAATGTTCAGGGGTTGATGGTGCTTGGGGTGATTGAGATGTTTTTTTCAATGATGATGTAGGTGGCAGTGGTTGTGGTGGAGATGGTGACAAGGCTGCTGATGCTGATCTCACCGGTGCCATTAGTGTAGGCGGTGGTGCGGTCTGTGCTACTGAACTTCTCGGCCATATAGGGGGCGGGGGAGGTGGAGGTGGCAGCGAAATGGGCACAGTAGTATTTCCAACGGGCTGTGAAGTTGCAGTTATTGGAGCTTCCATGTCGGAGCTTACTGCCGAAAGTATTGGAGTATGCAGTGACTGCACTGGTGAAGAAACAATTTTAGATTCAGCAGGTGATACAGATGGTGAAGGAATCTTCGTGGAAACACTTTCAGATAAGCCAGAACTAGCTACAGCAAAAAGGGATGGGGCAGATGCAGACATTGTCACCGAATGAGCAACTTCCGAGCTCACGATCAATGTGTGATCTTGTAGGAGAGCTGTAATGCCAAGAGCTGAAGGTGCACTGTTATATCTTGAAAAAGGTTTAGGAGAGCTCTGCAAGGAATTGACAGAGGAAACTGGAGTTGACCAAGATTTCGGCACTCGTTGGGATACTATTTTAGATTGAGAAGGACGTTGCAGAGCAATCTGCAAGTCATGGTGATCAACATTTGGCCTTTCTGTGAATGAATCGGGAGACTGTTTCTGAAAGGGAATAGGTTGCTTCTTTGAATCCGAAGGTGATGGTGTTGTTACTCTGTCAATAGCCTCAGCCAACATCACTTTCTCTTCAAACATGTCAGGACTAGATATCTGCGGCAGATGCATTTCAACTTTCTCCGTAGAAACTGAGTCAAGCTTCTGTTGAAAAACATTTGAAAGAGTTAATTTATGAAATCCCTGAATTGTAGCATCTCCCTTCCCATCTACTTTCTCTTTGAGTGTGTCAGGACTAGATTTCTGTGGCAGATCCATTTCAACTTTCCGCGGCGAAACTGAGTCCAGCTTCTCCTGAAAAGCATTTGAAGAAGCTAACTTTTGAAGAACTTGAAGTGCAGCATCTCCCTTCCCGTCTACCCAATCTAAGGTGCTAAAGATCTCCTGGACCTTGGCAAATGCTTCCACGGGAAGACCCTCTTTCTCATCAGCACTAGCCATCTCCACAGTAACGAGGGAAGAGGTTGCATCCATTTCCGAAAGAAGGACCTTCAAAGAAAAGAAAGCTATATTTCACTGTAAACACTAAACATTTAGAGAACTATTCTTGCAAGTGAAGAATACAAACCTCAGCTCTGAAATCCTTTGGAAATCGATCTTTTGCATCCCACAGAATGTCAATCTCATCCCGATTTAGTATAAGAATGTTAGACCTGATAAAGGCTGTATTGAACATGACTCTGAACATCATCTCCTCACGTTCTAGATCTTCATCTAATGCAATGCACTCAACTACAACATCTCCTTGTATGTGGCAATGTATATCAATTTTAACTAGTTCACAATCTGCCTGCATCCAGTGGTGTCATGTTAAAGGTGCATACCTTTCATAGACCAGCGTAGGTTATTACCATCAACTTGATTTATATCCTCAGTAGGTGAAGTATTTAAAATAATAGATACTATCAAGTTGAGATATATTCACAGGTATTATGAACTTTAACGTGCAAGTATGTATCAAATTAAAATTTTGCTCACTTAAAAGAAGAGACTGCCGGAAGCATTATGTTATAACATGCACTGGATTATAAGTCACCCACATGGATGCACACGCACAGACACTCGATGAGAAGTCAATAGGAAACACACACACACACACACACACACACACACACACACACACGAACACACAACATACAATGGGAAGACAACAAGAGTTAAAATCACCTGTTTGTAAAGCCGAACATTTTTGCTCTTCTTAGGTGTTGAGTATAGAACTTTAGGAGTCCTATCAGACTCAGCAACAGGATCCTGCCCATAAATACGAAATACTGGCCTGCAACCTCCTTCACCATCAAAGTTGGGAAGAATCCTGAGAATGACACAGTCCAATGTAAGTGCCCTATCCAGCGGAGGCCACCGAGAGCCAACATTCCTCCTTGAGATATACTGCAAGTATCTCAACTGAGAAGGCAATGGATTCAAGGGAGAAAGCAACTGCAACAGCTCACGGGGAGCTTGTTTATATATCATATCCAATGTCTTCTGTTCACCGGTGTACTGCTTTCGATAGATCAAAAGCCCTGCCAACATGAAAGAGAGAACAGGCCATCCACCTCGCTCACAGTGCATTAACAAGACATTCTGCTGACCCAATGAAAGCCAGCTCTCGCTAGACCTCAGGAAATGGTGGATCATCTCCATTGTGAGTAAAGGACACCCTTCATATTGTCGGGGGTAGTCCATCACAGTCAATTCATATTCCGATAAGATTTCTGCTATTCGGCTTTGATGCTCACCCTCCCGAAAATTGAAGACCATGAAGGATGCATCAGGGGAATGCTCGCGGAGTTGAGAAACAATGCCTCCAATATAGACCTTGTACTCATCTTCTCCCAAAACATCGGTCGTGAAGCAACAATCAAATACTGCAGATTGACAACAGGGGTGCATATTGTGAAAATAAATTTAGGTGAACAAGGTCAATATGCATTATATGAACGCTCTTATGACAGTATGGAAGAAAATCAATTCTGGTGAAAAAGATATCAAATCTTAACACAATGGCAAAGTTGTAATTGGAATAGATAAACTTCTAATAAAAGAAGAGCCAGAAGTTCCAATATTCATTATTTTAAGTAGAATTTCTGATTCAGAAATCTAGAGATGATTTTACATTGATATCAAGGTCCATATACGTGATATTAGCCCATTTAAGAAAGTAATTAGCAGATTGTTTCTCGGGAATGGGGATAGAAAGATTAAACTTTCCCTGATCATATATTCTCTAGTATTCATAAACATGTATGTTACTGGAAAGTCTGATTTGTTGAACTATCATTTCAATATGAATGAAATTATTTCATTAGCATGTTTCTAAATAAACCAAGAAAAACATAATAATAAGCAATCTTCCGGAGGTTGGTTAGCTGTTTATGGATGAAGGAAACAGGATCCTTCTTCATTATATGCAAGTGAAGAAAACCAGAGGTTGCTACCTAATTTAAAAGGTAAGATATCATAATGTGCTACTGTGTAAGATTTTAGTGGAAATTTAATTGGTAAGGCAGAATTCTGAAGGTTTCAATCAACCACTAAAATATATATAGATTTATCTAATGGAGAACCCATCATGTGTTCGCTTGCTTTACAGATTAAGATATGTATTAAACAAGCTTATATTAGAATCAAATAGTTCTTTTATTGTGATCGATAATGAAAATTGATGCGTTTATTTGAAATCTGAATTAGGGAAGATAACATTTCTATGCCAATAGCTGAAAAATTCAGATGAAGCAAGTTAATCATTTAATTACACATTACTTGGTTAGAACATGAGGTAATCCTGCGACTCTGCGAAGTGTTGACATTCAATGGTTATGTGTTGGAACCCACAGCCACAATTTATTTCCTGGATTTAGGAAATAGTAATTTCCTTATAAGAACGATCGCATATCAAAGAGCTTCCTTCTCATCCAATAACCAAGATGTAGATTTCAATATGCATTATTTGACCACTTTAACTGATCTATTAAAGTGTAGAAGTCTATTTATCTCATGGAACCCAATATTCTTTGGAAATCATTATTTTTTGCTTAAACCAAATAGGCTAAATAATAAACGCTTTACCATAATGGAATGTTTCATTTCAAAGGATCTAAAATTGCTGATAAATATGTTTTAAATTGGACAGGCTCCGATTATGCTATCAACTACTTTTGAGCTTTAATCATAGATTTCAAAGAGATGTAAAAAAGAAATTGTAGCAAATGTTGCAGCAACAACTGTCACATGCGGTATTTGTTGCAGGAAATCCACAAATATATCGTTTGGATATCTGTAATTTCATTGTGGAAAATGTATTTTCATTGCAAACTCAGTGTTTGCTTGAAAAACAGTTGATGAAAAAGTTACAATATCCGGAACTAGAAAGTTTCTTGATGAGGTGGCATTGTTATTTATGTTATATTTTCCTTTTTGAGAATCTGCAACATTAGCTGCAACCAAATTGGTCACAGCATTTGCTGCAGTTCTGCAACTTGTAGCTTCACTTGCCTTTTCTAAGAACAATGTCCTAGATTAAGAATGAGCCTAAAAGAGAGGAAAGATGATTAATTAAGCTCATGTGATTCTCCTAGACGAAGAACGAGCCTAAAAGAGAGGGAAATATGATTAATTGTCGCATCCACCTCTAAGGACATGCCTGGAATCAAAAAAAAAAAATGTAATCAGTCATGACATCAGTAAAGCGGGCACAAACTGCTCAGAATTGGCTTACAAATTGCCTTCACTGTTGCACCATGCTGATTGTCATACTCCCCTTCAAAAAAGCAAAAAGGACATGCTTCATCATGTCCAAACAAAAAAAACTATGCATGCTGGAGGAAAGAGATTTAAAAATTTTAGCGAGTTTTAAGGGGGGAAATCAAGTCAATGGAAAAAGTTCTCGAGATTGTTATAACCCTTTGAAAATTTATAAATTTGAAAATCTCCACCAAAGTTAGAAATCTCGATGTTGATTACAGTTTCATTCCTCTTCTTAGTATATCGGGATCAGAAATTTTGACATTTTTGTATCAAAATTATCAGATTGTTTGAATAAGTTGCTTTTAAAAATATCTTTAACATACAAAAAATAGTATAAACAATTAGAAACTTTTAACATACTTTCTTTGAAAAACTGATGAAGATTAAACTAAATCTCAATGAGCACTTGTACAGTTGTATTACAGCAAAAATTTCTAAAACTGGTACACTGTTTGAATTATTAATCTAATATAATGGAGAAATTAAAAATTTAAGAAAATAAATTTATATGTTTTTGCAAAAAAAAAATGCGTAGAAGAAATGAGAATACTATGATGGTTTGGTGGGTATACACTATAGGACAAATAAAACACTATAGAATAAGAAATGAGTGGACTCGTAAGAGATTACAGGTTCCCGGTAGGATAAAACGGGAGGGAATCGATTAAGATGGTCTGGTTAGGTACGAAGGAGACCTCTTAATCACCACTTAGGAGAAGTGATAAGATTATAATTAACAGACAGCGCAAGGAGGTCTACAGGTAGATCAAAAGATTTTGCTTAGAGACAATAAGAAGGATCATATGGTTAATAGTTAACGGAGGAGATGACCCAAAGTAAAACTGAATGGAAGAATACAATTCATATGCCAACCCCATAGTTTTGGACAAGGCTTCTCTGTTGTTCTTCTTCTTCTTCTTCTTGTTTAAATTTTAAACATTTCTTGTAAACCATTGGACTTTCTTACCAAGTTCCAACAATATCAAAAGAGTAAGTTCGTAAGAAATTTGATCCAAACTCCAAAGCATATTCTTCTTTTTATTTCTTCATGGTACCATGCATTAGCCAATGCTGATACATATCGACTACATTTTATCATATTTAAAATGTCAATTGAATCCAAGCAAAACTTATTGATATAGCCAATGCTGGCTAATAACAACTAATACAATTTGATGTTGGTAAACAATGGTCAATACATGAGAAGATTTGAGGTTCAAAGTACCAAAAATAGTTGACAGTGTTATATATAAGGAAAAAAACAGAAAAGAAATCCACATAGAAAGCATGTGTACCTATATGTGTGTGTACATATATGCGTGTGTGTACCTATGTGTGTGTGTACATATAGATGTGTGTGTGCATGAGAATAATGGGTATGCTTGGTACAAAGTACAAAATTGGTGCTTGATAGTGAGGTGGCTCATTCTCATCAACTTATTTAAGGAGGGGACCACATTCACGTGGGTTGGATAATTGAATGAGTGGATGAGAAGTGACCACCTCACTACCAAGCATCAAATTTTGTGTTTGGTACCAAGCATATATATACTCCTGACCCATTGAAAATCCCAAAACTTTCCAAAGTGACACTATAGATCATTGCACTTTATGAATTACTGATATCAAGATTTCACATCTCACTTTTTCAACAAAAGAAAATCAAGTCAACTTTTTGTACGTCAAACTTCAGGTATTTTCTTCAGTAATAGTTTTCCAGTATGTTTCGGCTAGATCAGTGTTGCTTGCGCAAGATCTGATATGATCGAGATAGATACTTCAAGCTTTGATTTCAGATAAATCATTCGATGCATCTTTTGATGAAGCCATCACTCTCTCCAATACTCACTGAATCCCTCCCCTAAAAAAACCACAAATACCCATCACGCTACCAAAAAAAAAAGCAGAGAAAGGGAAAAAGGAGTGCCAACTCAAGCTGGACAATGCACCTAAGCAGTGTAAACAAAAAATAACTTCCTCATTGCCTAATCGTGACAGCAACGCATGAACCTTCAGCTACACCATCAACGAACGGTACTCGAGACCCGTTATCTATATTTTGAACAGATAAATAGACGTTCCTACTGAATTAAATTTGATTTGATTTCCGTAAGAGAAATAAGTCTGTAAAGAGCTTCAGCTCAACATTGTAAGTTTCCCTCCTAAAATTTCTTCATGGTACACTAAATTGTTCCCAAGGACTCCAAAAACATAAACATGAAACATCAAATACTGCACCGAAGAATATCACAAAAGTTAGATATTAACCAGAAAAGTATATGAACAGAATCAAATAATAATAATCTAAGCCCATCGGAAGGTCTAATTTTAGCCAACGATAACAACTCACATTGCAGAAAAGGAAACAATAATGAACAAATTAATCGAACTGCAAAAATTTTCAAGCCTACCATAAACTCGCTCCGAAATTTCAAGAAGCCCTTCGGGGGGTTTGCGATAAAAGAATTTCCGAAACAGCGCCATCCTCCTCCGGATCCGACCAAATCAATCGAAATTTTCCGAGAATGTGAAACCCTAGGAAAAGGCGCAGCTAAACAAAAACAGCTCTTTTTGTAACCCTAGACCGTAGGGGCAGAATGGGAATCGAAAGTTTGCAGCGCGAGTGAGTGCCGATCCAGGAACGGAGCATAGATTTTGCTGCCGCTTCAAGGAATCGCTCTTCGCTTTCGCCTTCTTTATCTTTAGCTCGCAGCTTTCGTGGCAGGAAAAGGAAAACCAGGGCTTTGTCAAATAATTGGAATGGAAAAGGGGAAATTTTACAGAAAATTATCAGGAAAAAGAAATTTATATACTTTATGAGATCTTGGGTCTCGCTCGCTCTCTTTTGCTGTGCTCTTGTAACAGAGATGACGATGACGTGTGAGTTTTTGTTTTTTGTTTTTTTCGAATTTTTCGCTCTATTTAGTGTGATATTTATACTCGATTTGGCTATTTTGTACTCAGCTTTAAGATTCGGGTTTGGATCTTTAGTTCTTGGATCGTGTACTCGGGGTTTGGATCTTGATCTTACACGACGAGAGCGAGTTAAATGAGTGAGGCAAAGAAATGGAGCCAAAATCTATTGCTGATTGTTTGCGTCAAAAGTTGGTGTCGTTGTGTAATTCATTATATCTTCGATCGATTACAACAAATTCAAAAGAGATAGCCTTTTTATAAGACTTCTTTTACACAACAAAAGAAAAATTATAACTTTTTAGAAACAAACGCAGAATCGTTGTTTGGATCGCTACTTGCGTGGGATCTTTGCTTGTGCCGGGGGTGCGTTAGCCCGTGGACCACCGATTCACAGATTCTGATTGAATCGTGAAGGTTTTGGGGATTCTTCCTTCGTTTATCGAAGTAAGAATTTAAAGTAAATATCTTATCGATGTAAGATGTTCACTTTTCTAAAGATCAAGTCAGAGCTTAGATCTCTAGGAATCGCCAAAAGCTTCTTGAGGATGTTTGTGAAGAAGGAAGACTCTCTCTCTCTTGCTCTAATTCACCAAAAGCTCAAACTTTTTCTGCTCCAATCTGCCCTCTGTCCTTTATTTCGTGCCTAGGGAGGTATTTATAGGGGTAGGAGTGCACAACAGTGGAAATGGGGGCGAAACAACTGACCAGATGATCCCTCTTTGGCCGCGACAGCCAACACTGTCGCGGCTATTGGCGCGGCAGTGTGGACTGCAGCGGTCACAGAGGCGGTTACCAGCACGTTCCATTATGCTTGAAACTGTTCTCCCACGACTTTTAACCACCTTTTTCGTGGTTTAACTGCTTGTCCACGTCAGCACACGTTCTATCTCTGATATGCCGCCACGTGGGCTTCAAATAATCACCATATAACTGCCTTGTAACCACCATAGCATCCCCTACAATAGCCGCTGCACCCTAGGCTGCCGCGTCTTAGCCGCGGCACCATATGCTGTCGCGCCATGGCTGCGGCACCATGAGCTGCCGCGCCTTAGCCGCGGCACCATGAGCTGTCGCGCCTTAGCCGCGGCACCAAGTGTTGTCTGTTGGTGTGTACATGTTGTCTCACTTCCTTTGAATGATTCCCTCTGATTAAGAGAAAGACGCTTATCGTCTTCTCTTTGTCTTGAGTGGTATTTGGATGTCTGTAAGCATTTTTTGACGCCTACACTGATGTAAATTGCAAGTTAGTTTCGAAATAATGGGACTGTGTTAGATTATTCTCATGAATTTTTTCATGATTCTTCTTCTTATCTTCATTTGTCAATTTGATGAACGAAACTCATAAATGGAAATTTTGATGATCTATGTTGTATTTTTAATCGTTGAGAAGGATAATGAGAAAAATAATAACACTTGGAGCGAAAATTTGTGCCCATATGCTAGTAGGTTTTTTTTTTGGGGAGGTCTAACCACTGATATATCAATGGTTTTTGCTGTTATAATTCGCAAACTATAATTATACTTCCAACCACTGTTGTTAACATTTTACTTATTATTTAGCAAACAACCAATTTTTTTTAATGGATGTGCATTCTTCTTGGTCCCAATTCAGGACTAAGCAAATCAGAACAAATTGAATATTTGTGTGATAAATTTCTCGAATTGATTTTTCGTTTTTATAAAGGGTAAAATTAACAAATCTAAGTTGGGCATTATCTTTTTCCTACAAGAGATCCTGCGGAAAAGGTTTTGCTAAATTTATTCCATCAACTATTTCATATGTGACTACGGGCCGAACCAAAACAAAATACTTCTTTTAGTAGGTGTGATCCGTTGGACATAGATCCAATTTTTCATATTTTTTATTCCTTAGAATTTTTTCCCCCTTTTCCGTTCTTGGTGGTATCAAAATGTCGCTATGTCTCGATATCTTATCTGTCTCTTCGGGAGCTTCCAAATTGCATCCGACCTGTTTCTCTCCTAATTAGTTGCTTAGCAACTAACATCCTAAGGTTCAAAAATATAAAATTTTTGAGACCTTAAAACTTTGTGTAGTTTATAAAACCATTACAATGTTAGAAATAAGGTGTTGTTTAGACTATAATTAGCACGAAATGCAGTTTTAACAGTTAAATGAAATCGAAAAATAACAGATTTAGATAATGATTCAAAATAGTTATTTAATAAAATTAAACAAAGTTTAGAATATAGCCTGATGATCGAAGCGTGCTAGGCACTGTCCCAAGAATCTAATTGTCTCCTCTCGTCAGGGCTACGCGACAATAGATCTCGAAGATACTACGACCCTCGGTCAGGCGACCTCCTTCTCGTCGGCACGAGCTTCAAGAAGGCTTTGCGAATTCTTCAAGACTTTTAGGGAACCAGCGAAAATATAACAGCAAGAAGAAATATTTTGAAAAGAATAAGAAGAGAAGATCAGTTATTCACTGTGTTTAAAACCCTCGCAGCTGTAGGTAATTTTATAGGTTGAAAACCACCATTTAGATCTCGCGCCCGTTTTAGATCCATCAATCTTGCATCCGTTTAGATCCATAAATCTCGCAGCTAAATGTTTAACACGTTTTAATTGTTCCAATTTGCTAAAATAAAAATCTAAAATGTAGCAGGTTAAGGGCCCTCACAATCCGGAGCTGCATTCGTGTCCGCGTAATTGTTCCGATTTGCAAAAATAAAAATCTAAAATGTAGCAGGTTAAGGGCCCTCACAACCCGGAGCTGCATTCGTGTCCGCAAGTCGTGGGCATGCGCGCCTCCCGACCCCGGTACGATTCGACGCGCGCACGTGTGATGTGGGGCATAACCCATATTTCCTTCTAGACATAGGAGAGAAAAGAAAGACTTATAAACAACCATCATTCTCATCTCATATTCAACGTGAGACTAAACTTCCCCACCCCAAAATCCAGTTTTAAGTTATTATAACTCCAACCCACGGTACTTAAAAAACCGGTTGTTATTATCTCCTTGTATCATTGTCTCTACAACCTTTTTGTTTTTTTCCCACTGATCCGACCTCCGCGGGGTCCAGCACGTGTCATAGCCGAGGAACGGGGGAGGACAAACTGATCTTTAGCGAGGGCAATTTTGTCTTTTCCAATTCGTTCTCAAGCGGTGATGGGAAGCATTCGACACGTGTTCAGAAAGGGTGGCAATCGGCTAAGGAGCAGGAGGGCACGCAAAATGAATCATCTCAGCTTTCACGAAGTAATTTGACGGTGTCTTCCAATTTTTTAAATAACATTTTATTACAATTTCGAACTTATGGCGAACAAAATGAGAGACACGCACATTTCCATTTCTCAAGAGAGAGGAGAAAAAACACTGAGTATTAGGCTTTTTCGCATAGTATTTAGTTTGCTTCGTATATTACATTGTAATAGTCTGTCTTTTTTTTTTTAATAACTTTTCGTTGCTTGTTTTAGAAGGGAGTTTTCATAATTATCCGTCAGTATTCCTTTATGCCCACCTGCTTAGTTTGTTACAAGTTAACAGTTGGCACTTGGCACTGCAGCAACCGTCGGCAATATTAACATGTATGTATAGTAGTCACATGACTCTCATATCATTATGTATATTGGCCTCTCGATCGGTTGTTGAATGAAAATGACTTGTGCATATATACACTACGATGCACACATAATTGAGGCTAGGAAATTATGGGGTTATCAAGTAACCGTTCATCTCGGCGAAATGATCCGATAAGAGATATAGATGATGGGATCTCACCCTTCCTACGTGGCTCACACGTGCCGCGGGTCTTCATTTTGTAAAACGATCCGCTGGCTACTCTATACGACTGGATTCGAATCCTCTTCACTATCTAAAAAGCAATGGAGAGACCACTACATGATCTCAACCATTGATTATCTAGTTGGTGGTTGTGATTTTTTATTTTGGTGGTTGCAATAAATAGGGGTATGCTAAGTGTTAGATTTAGATTATATCAAAATTAACACCATACGCGTCCAATTAGACGTTATGCATTGCTTTGATGGGATAATCAAAGACGCTGATCGATGATGGGGGCTCAAGCTAAATCAAACGTTGTTCACTAAAAAGTAAGACGAGAACAAGTGTGCCCCAGTTCATGTCACGTCACGCTATCATGAATCCAATGAATCAAGGGAAGTGGGGAAAAAATGGGGAGGGGTTTACAATTTTTGAATGAGCCGTGTGTTGGATTTAATCTAATAAATCTATTTGTGGGCACATATGATTAATCAATGTGTATTGTTATCTTTCAGGATAACCCACTAAAGTGATCAATTAAGTTGGGTTAATGGGTATTTAAATATAATCATGGGGTTATATGTGTAGATACCAGGTTGTAATTGTGATTTATTGAGGGGTTAAATTACAAAAGTACAATATCTATAAATAAGGGGTTATGGTCTCTAACCTAGGGTTACACTCTCTAATTCTCTTCACCCCCATCTAGAGAGAGAAATTCGGATTTAGAGAAACCCTAAGGTTAGAAGATCATTGAAACCCAAATCAAGATTTCTTCTATGGATTCAGGTATAATCTTCCGCACTCTTTTGATTATTGTTAATCTCTTCAAATTAATCATGGCTATATGGTTTTTTAGATCTCAAGTTATGATTCAGACCTAACAAGTGGTATCAGAGCCACCTTGATTAATTCTTAGGGATTTAAGTTTTATTGGGTTTTTTATCTTAAATCTCTGGTTAAAGATTCAGTTTTGTTTTTCGGATGAACAATAAATTTTTTGTTCGGGTGAACAGTAACGAAAATTTTTCGGATGAACAGTAAAGTTTTTTCAGATGAACAGTAACTAAAAAACGTCGGTAAACAATAACTTTTTAGAATTTTTTGGCTTTTTCGGCGGTTTTTTCTTGAATCTAGATCAAGAAAACTCATTTTTTCGATTCTAGATCTGTTTTTTGATTTAATGGCGGCGGTTTCAGTTTGAAACCCTAAGGGTTCGTGCGTGAATTTGAAACCCTAAGGG